AGCAGCAGCTTGAGTATATGATGGGGACGATCACACAGCCACTGTGCCATGAAAGGCGACCTAAGGTTACTTACTACCTACAAGACCACTACTAGATGGGGATCACTACCAATCAGCCAGGTGAGGATGGAAGGATACTGTGAAGGATGTCTTCCCCTCGGCACACATATGATGAATCTAAGAATAGGTATGAGAACTATCACGACTGCTAATGCCTCTTCTTGATCGGAGACTGATAAACCTACCTTCTCAGAATAATAGGGTTCATTGGCATCCTCTGTTGGGTCGATGAATGTCTGTAAGAACTTGCTGAAGTTGGCAATAATCTTCTTGCCCAAACGTGAATCCCTGGCATATAGCACTCAGATACACGAATAGTGGGCATCATTACGGAGAGAGGTCAGTGTCCGGTCCAACCTCCTCATTATTAAGATCGATAAGATCGGCATCGAACTCCTCGTCCATAGCAGCATCGTCATCCTATTATTCACGACTAACACTGGACCAGTGGTTTCCATATCCCCCACCTCTGCCTGTGCAGCTCTCCTCAACCTCTCTAATCTACGCCTCTTCCTCTCATAGGCCCCCATACGATCATCATCATCCTCACTATCCGAACTATCCCCACCAAACACCGCTCCTGGCATTCTACGTCCTAAATGCATGGCCAAGATCATGATGATGATGATGTAGGGTAACAATCGAATCACTTTGTCCCCTATCCCTCTCTCTTAGTTCCCTCTCAGCACGCCTCCTAGCACCAGCATCATCACCATACTCCTGCTCATCCAGCATCCTGGGATCATATCGATCCAATTCAGGCATAGGACGATAATCCTCCTCCATGCTGAATGACTATGCTAATCAATAACATCAGGTGAGGTATCAATAGTAGTACTTATCCATCAAATCCTCACCCTCTCCCTCATCCTCCTCCTCAATAGCGTCATCGACGCCATCACTAATCTGATGCACATAGCATACCAGAGTATAGCTCTAGCGCAGGCCATGCTCACTCTATCATCCTCCATAGCTTCACTACCAGCATCTACTTCATCGTCATCCTCAGGCTCATCACGAGTTGGGAAGAAGCGATCACGGTGAGACATGACAAATAGGAGAAATACGATCCTGTATTAGACGTGGCTCAAGGTCCTGACATAACACAACGATACTTGTTGATAGTACTGTAATCAGAATTATGATAAAGCACACCAACAAAACCCGATTGGAGAGGACCATTGCTACTCCCGATGAGATGAAGCCTGGGTCATGAGGTAGGATAAGACAAGAACTGAGGTATTAGTGTTACACTCAGGCTTATCTATAGCATGACCTTGCTCGGGATACATATACACATCCACTGAGGGACAATGACCATTAACTGACACTGCTTGGGCCCATCTGTAAGGGAATCAATCAAAACGAGGAACGATCAACGAATGATCCTACCTCAGTCCACCCATATGGGGTACTCTTTGATCACTCTCACCAAGTAATACAATAACAGGCTTGTCAACATTCTTAGCCAGATGAGTGGCTGAGACCTCTCTCATCCTCCCCATCTGCTCCTTGGTCAGAGGTTGATAGTCAAAGTCTGAGGCCCCATCCCTCTCCCCAAAGGCCTCCACAAAGCACCACTCGGGTATATCCGTAGTGAGGCATTGGGAGAGTAAATCCACAGCTGGATTCCACAGTATGCCACATTGATACCTCGGAGGCGACCAACATGACGAGGACACTCAAGCTACTGCACACACTACCTTCCCCTCACTGTTGCATCCGATGACCCGACCAGATGTCCACATAGGAATCCTCCATGCGAGCCGCCAAATAAGCTGACCCCCTTAACCCTCTTACCTACCGCGGCATGAACGACTTGGCGGAGACCGATTGTCCTCACCTGTGCTCTTCTCGAGGTCTTGTATAGCATGCACGACTATGTCGTCACAATCAGCAACATCCATAGTACCAGCATGGCCAGGAAGAGCATTGAGGAAGTCCAATCCGAATGATGTAGATCCTCTGAGACGAGAGGATGATCGGAGAGTATAGTGCGCAAAGAATGTATCACCTATAGTTGGGCAATACAACAGCAAAGCCTGCCTGCAGCAGATAAGCCACCTCTCCAACGAATGCATTAGCACTAAAACTATGAGGGCCGCCGTGCAATCTGGCGACTAACTGCTCATTCCATACAGCAGGGGTTACCAATAGGCCAGTGCAGGACTCCCCTTGCACGAGTGAGATGGTGGGGGGTGATCCACCCTAAGGGGATTGGAGGCCTCCAACAATCAAGTAACCGATGATAAGAGCATCCCATCCTACATTCCATGACACTCGAGGTGATGCCATGACC